TATGTTAGTGAATATCATTTAAATAACGTTGTAGTAATAATTTTTTGCTTACTGGGTAACTACGAATATGTTTAAAAAAATTAATGGATTTCTTATTACCTCCGTCAAATAAAGAACAAAGATATACAGGTATCTCAGGTAATGGTTCAATATATACTGCGCCATGATTACAACATCATTAAACGAATTTCCTTTATTGGAAATTCTTCCAGCTACAAAATGCCTTGCATTGCAATGAACACAAAAAACGTCAATAGGACCAATATAATATTTAACTACATCATTAATTAATGATTCACTACAAATATTTAAACTTGCTTGTCCTTTCTTTTGTGATATATAACGAGAATGATATTCTGCAGGATTTTGATATAATGGTGTAACATGTTTTATTATAGGATTATCACGCGATGAACTTGCAATACAAATAATATGATTTCCTTGATTATGTATTTTTGATAAACTATTAATCTTTGCTTTTGCATATTGTCGACGTTGATGTTGACTTTCTGTTTTTCTTTCACGACGAAGTCGTAATAATTCTTCTTTTTCTTCTAAATTACGTTCCATTTTACGTTTCGGTATCTTATTAAAGTATAAGTATATATTGATGATATTATTTAACGTTTAAAGAAAGCTCGCGTGCGTTAGATGAAATTATAACATATAATTGCAATAATATTAAGAATGAAGAAATATAAATAGAAATAATATTTTAAAGTTAAAAAATCAAATAATCTTTATATATTAAAATAATAATTTTTTAAAATAATAATCTTTATATTAAAATAATAATTTCATCGTCATCGTCATCGTCATCGTCATCGTCATCGTCATCGTCATGGTCATCGTCATCGTCCATCGTCATCGTCATCGTCCATCGTCATCGTCCATTGTCATCGTCATCGTCATCGTCGTCGTCATCGTCATCCTCATCGTCATCCTCATCCTCATCGTCATCCTCATCGTCATCCTCATCGTCATCCTCATCGTCATCCTCATCGTCATCGTCATCCTCATCGTCATCGTCATCGTCATCGTCATCGTCATCGTCATCGTCATCGTCATCGTCATCGTCCATCGTCATCGTCCATCGTCATCGTCATCGTGCATCGTCATCGTCATCGTCCATCGTCATCGTCATCGTCCATCGTCATCGTCATTGTCCATTGTCATCGTCATCGTCATCGTCGTCGTCATCGTCATCCTCATCGTCATCCTCATCCTCATCGTCATCCTCATCGTCATCCTCATCGTCATCCTCATCGTCATCCTTATCATCATCATCATCATCGTCATCATCGTCGTCGTCATTATGTCATAAACTCTCTTAGCTAATATCATTACGTAACAATATACAAATTATAATAAATATCCTTATCCTTAATTATTTTATAATAATTTGAATGAGCGTTTACGCAATGATTAACTTCGAGCTAAAGAAGTTTTTTAATTTAAAAGTTATATATATTGTTTTAATAAATTTATTTTATTTATTTATGTAATAATACTTTTATAAAGTTAACATTTATTATTAAGAGATAAGAAAATTATATAATTTTATTAGAATGGCAAAAATTGAATGAATAATAACACCAAATGAATAATAATAATAAGAAAAATAAAAAATAAATGAAAAATTATATGAATGAAAATTTAAATGAACTATACCTACACGTAAATTAATAGTTTTGAAATTCCAACTAATGAAGATCAACTTTTCTTTCGACTTCTACTTTACAATTGTCAGCACAAGGATTATAATAGTTGATCTTTAAATCTGCAACAAATCCCAGTATATTAGCATATTTACAATATTTAACACATAATAAATGCATTAAATAGTCATATTCTATATTCGTTACAACGCTACTAACCTAACACATGCTGTGATTTTTTCTGCGTAAACATTGATTCATTATTTTGTTTCATCTGATAATAAGCTTCATATAATAAGGCAAACTTTTCTATAATTCACAAGTGTCTTTCGACTTATTTGATGACAAATATAACTGAAATTCTACGTCGCCTTTATTCCTACAATAGACAATGAAAAATTATAAATTATTAAAATAATCCATACAAATTATGTTCAATAAAATATGGATAATATTCTATATTTATTTTCGACAATTCTGGATGTTGATTGTATGTGTACATATAAGAAATGCAAAAGTTGGATATAATGATAACTTGACATCAACTACAGATCTGACAATGAGTCTATAAAGGTTGTTGACACATATCCCTTTGACCTATGAATTAAAATAATTATTAAACTTATAAAACTAATAATAATTTATAAAAGATTTATAAAATAATTATTACAAACATATATTTTATAAATAATACACTTATACACTTTATAACTTATACACTTAATGAATAGAAGAAGATATTTATAACATATTTTGAATATATTTAGATTAATATACAAACACAACTTGGTTATCAAATTAAAAATACTTATAATATAAGGAAAAAATGATCAAGGATTGAAATTTTGAAAAACAACAATTTTCTAAGTTCGAATAAACTTTAATAAAAATGTAAGATATTTTAAGATCAGAAGGAATTTCTTTTGTTGTTTTATCAAAAATATGTTAATAAAAAATTTTATAGTAAATATAATTTAAATTGATAATATTAAAACATATTACACACATACCTGTTTTATTTAGTCTTTAAATTAATTGATAACTAAATAATTCTTCTCTTAGCAGCTTTTTTTAAACAATCTCTGATCTGTCACCAGTTTATTATTTTATTCCACCCGTGTCTGATATCCAAATTTTCTTAATTCAACTTTCCAAACAGTTATACTGCATTGAAAATTTGAAAATGCTGAAAAAAGTGAATGTTTGAATACACATTGTTGAAAACACATAGTTGTTTCTAAGAAAATATGTAATTGGCAATTAACAATTCCATATTTTTTCTTAAAAACAACTGTATGTTTTCTTTACACCAATTGATTCCTCTCATTATTATATACATAAAAGTATTAAGGTAAGATAATCGAAAAATGAATATTTTACAAGATATTTTATGGTTTATGTAAAATTAAGAAATGACTTCAAGCCTCATAACTCGAAAAGTACTTAATGGAAAAATAATTTATTATAGTGTTTTGGAAAGCTCTCGAGATAAGCTTACGCAATGAAAAATAGGGGGTTCCATTTAAAAATATGCACTTCCAGTTTAAATCGCTTATTTCCGGCCGGAACCAGAAATTGAAAATATCACTATTGGATAGAGCGCATCCGATTTATAATGAAAATGTTTTTACTTTTTTGAAATAATCAAATCTCGAGTTTTAAATGAGTGGTACGGATGGTCTGAAACACCCTGTATACACACACATATACAGGGTGGGCCATTTTAAGTGATCCACTCAAATATTTCGGAAAATAATGAAAAATAAAAAAAATGTTTCAGATAAAAGTTGTATAGCTTGAAGAGGGCCATCAGATAGTGGCAATGATTTGACCTTGGAGAGTCATTTGAAGATGACGTAAAGGTAACCTTCAATTTCTTAAATGGAACTCCCTATTTTTTATTATATATTCGTGTAGCTTATCTCGAGAGCTTTCCAAAACACTATAATAAAGTATTTCTTCATTGAGTACTTTTCGAGTTATGAGGCTTGAAATCATTTCTTAATTTTGTATAAACCGTAAAATATCTTGTAAAATATTCATTTTTCGATTATCTTACCTTAATACTTTTATGTACAAAATAATGAGTGGAATCAATTGGTGTAAAAAACACATAGTTGTTTTAAAAAAAAATATGTAATTGTTAATTGCAAATTACATAATTTTTTCTTAAAAACAACTATGTTTTTTCTTTACATCAATTGATTTCTCTCATTATTTTGTACATAAAATTATTAAGGTAATCGAAAAATGAATATTTCACAAGATATTTTACGTTTTATGTAAAATTAAGAAATGATTTCAAGTCTCATAACTCGAAAAGTACTCAATGAAGAAATACTTTATTATAGTGTTTTGGAAAGCTCTCGAGGTCAGCTATAAGAATATACAATCAAAAATAGGGGTTTCCATTTAAAAACTTTTAATTAAATTTTCCGTGTCCTTAACAACACTATCCAAGGTCACACTAACCATGCTATGTAATGCGCCCCTTAAAGTCCTACAACTTTTGTTCGGAACATTTTTCAAATAAATGCGTATTTTTCGAAATACCAGCCTGATACGGTCGCTCTGATACACCCTGTATATATATATATATATATATATATATATATATATATACATATGTATTCTTTTATCAAAGCAAAACAGAGAGTCTGCATAGCACGCTTCAACCGACTGATATCGATAACCGATGGACAAAAAAGTCTGATGCAACATGCAGAATTTATGAAATAATTCTAATTGGGAGTATTCACACTAATCTAATTCTCCTACTATGCCGAGATAGGAGAAATAACATGTTGTTCCACTGTTATTATTCATCGAGCAGTTAGTAGTTATGTGCGAATCTCACTGTTAAGACGTTGTGTACTATTATCATCATTTTTATCCGCAGTTTTGTGTCCAGATATCTCTGAAAGTTAAATATAGAAATATAGAACAATATTATATCATATCCTATTAATTATATAAAAGGAATTTATTGTGGACAATCATACATAAAATTTCTGATCTATTGAAAAAAATAGACGAGAGTTTAAAGTTAGAAGAAAATTTTGGAAAAAATTATGTGAGTAAAAATCAATTAAAAATTTTTTATTCTTTGACGATCACTATCTTATGTATTTCAAACAAACTCGATGAATAAAGTGATTAAAAGTTTATTAGGAAGTTAAAAACGTTGTTATATAATCTGTCTAATATTATATAAGATTTCCTTATTAAATAAAAATTTTAAATTTAATTATATATTTTTTTTAATCTAGATGTAATAAAATAAAAAATACTCTATAGTTTATCTCTATTGATTTAGATTTTTTAGATTATAACGTGTTCAAAATTTCAAAAGAAATCACCTTTATGTTTGTTCTGAGTATCTCATTTCTTTCGAAGTAAACTGACTGAAAATAATAATTGTATTTATTTAATTAAAATAGGAAAGAAATACCATTTGCAGACTTTTAAGTCTATTTACACATATTCATGACGTGTTAGTGGCGTATCAATATCGTATCAGTAGCATCCGTAATATCAATGATGATTATTCACATATATCCGTATAGTTTGAATTTAAACTTATTAATTTTCAAGATGTCAGTTTATAGACGATAAATTAGCAATGATTAGGTAATATACAGTTTAAGAGTAAAATATGTTTCAAAATATTTATAATACTGTAATATGTTGTATTTATTCTGATAAGTAATATGTCTCTGAAATAAAAAATATTAATGTAATACAGGATATTTGCCATCTTCTTTCATATCTGTTCCAATCTTCCTTCAAATCGAGTTTGAAAGAAGTGTCCATATTTAGGATGTGATAAATCGTATAGCACCGGATATTGACGCACTAATTCAATGAATTGTTCGTCATTCATTTTTACAAGCCTAAAAATGTCTATATAGGTATATATATAGACATATACAATATACAATATACAATATACAATATACAATATACAATATATAATAGACAATAAGTCTATATATGAATATAGGTATAAGCTTATAAAGATTTTTCCATGTGAAGCAAATCATTTTTTTAAAGTCAAGTTATAGATTTGGATGCAAATAAAATATTATATTAAGCATAATTTTGCTGTAAAATTTTATCGTAAAATTACACAATACAATATTTTATTTTCATCAAAATCCACGATTTGATCCAAGTGATCTGTTTGGCACCAAATACTCTATAAATAAATTTATTGACAGTCGTAATGTATCCGTGAAAAAGCAAAAATATCATTATTATTTACATAATATCGCTATGCAGATACTGAAACTGAACGATCCAAATACAATACTGCGTCGGACATGTGTAAACACGTCCATCTAAAAACAAAAGGACGATATTTATCATCACTGATACTAACAGAAAATCACGAAACTGAATAGATACGGCACTGACACGTCACAGATATGTGTAAATAGACCTTATCATAAAAATAATTTACCGCTGCGAAATGATTAAATCGCAATGACTTATATCGAGAGAGAGATTGAATCTTCTGAATTAAAGTGTGAATTTTGACTATATTGTCACTTTTCTAGTAATTTTTTGAATGTAAATGTAAGTGTATTAAATGTAAATGTATTAATTATATTAAATGTAAATAATATATTAACTATAAAAAATATATAATTAGTACATTTCATTTTATTTATGATTATCTTAATCTTATCTTGATGTATATATTTAAGATATCAAAGTAATTATTATTTTGATAAAGCGAATATATTATCTATGTCATGATATGTTTGATTCAAAGATCAGAGGAAATTCAAGAAATTCAAGAAGATTGAACTTTATTAGACGACACATCGAATCAAAGATGATTATTATTATATTTTTATTATCCATTCTTAGTTTATTAGTATATAATTATTATGTGCATCATGGAAGAAATGGGCAACTTATTAATCTTATCCCCGGACCACTAGGCTATCCGATTTCTGGTAATTCATTGGAATTCCTTGTTTCGGCAGGCAAGTAAAAGTTTTTAATATTTCAGTTAAGTAAAAATTTCAAGTATTCACCTTAATCAGCGTATCATTTATAAAGAAGCGAAAATTAAATATATTCTGAAATACATACATATACTTATCAATATTATTGAGTATTGAATACACAGACCTGCGAAGATCAATGTGAAGGTCAATTACAAAAAGCAGAGTAAAAATCTGATAGGTTTTATGATGCTGAAAAAGAATCTGGCAGCAGAATTTCCCCAGCACGTCAAGTTTTCTAGTAATTTATAATTAAATAGTTCAAAAACGACAATTTCGGCAAATTTTATGAATTTATTAGAAAAACCTAATTTTTTGAAATATTTCTGCCAATGACATTATATCAAGAGATACGGTAGTGTTTCGCATCAAGTTCATGCGAAACATTCCGTGTATCTATACGTGAGTCGGACAGTTGAAAATAACTCAGATTACCGGATTTCAATAACGGCTTAACGGATCGAATTCTTACTAGGATTAATCGATAGAGCGAGTTCGAATTATATAAAGAAAGTATCTTTATTTTTGTGCTATATGATCTATAAATGGAGATATTATATGATGCAATATCGAAATTTTCATTTATGAAACATCTTTATCACCGTCATCAACACATATATACACAACACATAGAAAGAGAAAACATACAGTTCCTACTCTCGACAGAAGATTACGCTAGTGATGCTTTGCGATATTAATGACATGTATCATTAACCGCATTTTGAGTAGTAATAAATAATAAAGTGCAAGTTAAATAATAAATGTCTAAAAATTAAAAAGAAAATGACATAGCCAATGCGCGATAGAATTTTTTTTATCGGTTCAATTGTATACAATTGTTTAAATATATGTAACTATATCAAATCGGCAAATTGTATACAATTGTATAAATATATGTAACTATAATAAATCGGCAAATTGTATATGTATATCATACAATAATTATACAATAATAGATAGAATCATATAATAATAGATTCCTATTGTACAGTTCCACAGATATAGTTCCATAGATTTGATTTTACATAGATTTGCAACTTTCCACGTGAAGCGAGATCCACCTCTCACCACCTCTGAGTCAGTGCGAAACAAGGTTTATTATTGTATAGTTCTACATAGGTTTGCAATTTTCCACACAAAACTTTTCACTCCATATCACCTCTAAATAATTTATTAAATATTTCTTATTAAAAATGAAGAATAAATAATTAAATAACCGCGTATATGTCAAAAAAACTTTCCATTAAGTATACAAGATGTTTAAAGATTACGTGAAATTTTTAGGGAAGAAAAGTTTATAGATAATTATATACAATTAGTAAATTTAACAAGATAAATTTAAGTATAATTATATATAATTACATATATTAAAATCTATGTATACTATCATTTATATAATATTTTATATTATTATATCAAGATGTTTATAACTCCGTATCGAATTATGCAAAATTATATTAGAATTTTTGAGTATTATACTCAAGAATTCTAATATAATTTTGCTCGAGTATTATACTCGAATTTTATGTAATTCGATATAAAGTTGCAAATATTTTAATAAAATTACATATAAATAATAATATAAATATATCTTATTATTTATTATATATAATTTAATATAATTATATAAATCTATATATATTGTACCGATTTGATATAGTTACATATATTTATACAATTATATACAATTGAGCCGATAAAAAAATTATAATTTAATTGTATTTATAAATATATAATTGTATGTAATCATATATACATATATATGATTTTATATGATCACTAATTTGTTCGTTTATCGCTACGTGACGCTTCTTTCTCGTATTTAAGTTTAATTACAAGAATTATATACAGTTTAACGTCATCTACAAAATAACAAAAAAACTAAATAATTTAATTAGACGCGGTAAAGATAGCTTACACAATAATGACAAGACAAGTGCTGTATACAAATTAAACTGTAAGGATTGTAATTTATCATACATTGGGCAAACAAAAAGACATCTACGTACGCGAGTAAAAGAACATTGCAATAATATAAAGTTACATGAAACTAATCACTCGGTCATTAGCAAACACAGATTGGAATCCGGACATGATTTTGACTGGTCGAAACCCAATATTCTGCATAATGAAAAATATGTTCGAAAGAGAGAAATTGCTGAGATGTTCTTTATCAAGAAATTTAATAATTTAATCAACCTACAGAAAGACACTGATAGTTTAAACAACATTTACGACAAAATAATAAAGGTCACTTAATTTCGTTTTCTTCTAGTTGTGTTTAGTTTCTTGACGAAGTCTCACACGGACGCATCAATTTCTCTCACATTCAAATCTAGTTAAATAACGTTTTTTGTTAATGTGACTTGTGCAGTTTACAAGATTATCGTCTATGTCTGTCTCCTGATTATTATTACATCGGTATAAAAATTGTTCACACTTTAATTCGTTGAACGTACTATGTATTCAAACCGTTAATTAATTAATTAATTTATAAATCTTTTCCAGTATATAATTGATAAGGACCACAACCATATGGCCGAAACATCGTATTAATAAACAAATTTTCTGGCTACTTTGGTCGACTACACTTTTTTCAACGAGCCTTTAATTATATACAACTTGCAAAGGGTGATAAATATGAATACAAATATTTATATTTGAAGCAAAATTGCTTCAAATTTAATTTCTGATAATTCTGACGTTCCAGTGGAGGAATTTCAGATTTCAGATATTTCAGTTTCAGATTTCAGAAATTGATTTTATAGGTTAGGCAAATAAATGTCGGATGTATAAATAAAAATGATCAGTTCATCTTATACTTAAGCTGTAAAATTCAATATTTATATATATATATATATATATATATATATATATATAAATACAATTTTTAGTTTTACTAGAACAATACAGGTGCGCGCTATTTATTTCTTACAATTGATACTGCATATATATATATATATATATATATATATATATATATATATATATATACAGGGTGGACCATTTTAAGCGATCCACTCAAATATCTCTTAAGGAAAGCCTGCAATCAAAAAATGACGTCAGTAAAAGTTGTATGGCTTAAAGGGGGCCATCAGATAGTGGCAATGATTTGATCTTGGAGAGTCATTTGAAGATGACGTAACCTTCAATTTCTTAAATGCAACTCCCAATTTTTTATTACATATTCGTGTAGCTTATCTCGAGAGCTTTCCAAAACACTATAATAAAGTATTTCTTCATTGAGTACTTTTCTAGTTATGAGGCTTGAAATCATTTCTTAATTTTGTATAAACCGTAAAATATCTAGTAAACCATTCATTTTTCGATTATCTTACCTTCATACTTTAATGTACAAAATGATGAGAGGAATCAATTGGTGTAAAGAAAACATACAGTTGTTTTTAAGAAAAAATATGGAATTGTTAATTGCAAATTACATATTTTTTCTTAGAAACAGCTATGTGTTTTCTTTACACCAATTGATTCCTCTCATTATTTTATACATAAAAGTATGAAGGTAAGATAATCGAAAAATGAATGGTTTACTAGATATTTTATGGTTTATGTAAAATTAAGAAATTATTTCAAGCCTTATAACTCAAAAAGTACTTAATAAAAAGGTACTTAATTATAGTGTTTTGGAAAGCTCTCGAGATAAGCTACAAGAATATGCAATGAAAAATAGGGGGTTCCATTTAAGAAATTGAAGGTAATCTTTATGCGACCTTCAAATGACTATCCAAGGTCAAATCTAAGGTCACCGTCGGATTGCCCGGCAAAAATCCTACAACTTTTGTCTAGGTCATTTTCCTCTGTGATACGTATTTTTCAAATTATCCAGCCGTCCCGGAACTTTTACACACACTGTATATATACACACGCTGTATATATACACTAGGCAACAAAATTATCGCAACACTCATTTATACCAAAATTTCGCACAACTTCAAATAATCATAACTTCGTTAAAAATTATCGTAATTGAAAGTTTTTTTTCTTATTTTAAAGCTTAAAGACTCTACTTTAAGATGCATTTGGCCAATTTTGAATTTCTTCTTTCCTCCTTGCGCCGTCTCTTTAAAAGTAAAGACGTGTTTTGTTCAAACATTTGCATAGTTTGACGCACTCCACGGAGTAGGATGAATTTTTTTCGCAAATGCCACGACAACCATCGTAAAATTTGGACTTTTCTCTGCAAATTAAAAAAAAAGAGGTTTGTACGATTTTTTTTCGAGGAGTTAGGATGTATCAAAATCATGTATGCATTTTTGTCGGTTACCGCCAGCATTAGCATTATCCGATGTACACCACGGGGAGGTTGCTGATCAGATGTCGCACATCGTGTGTGTGTGTGTGTGTGTGCGTGTGCGTGCGTGCGTGCGTGCGTGCATGCGTGTGCGTGTGCGTGCGTGCGTGTGCGTGTGCGTGTGTGTGTGCGTGCGTGCGTGTGTGTGTGTGTGTGTGTGTGTGTGTGTGTGTGTTACAGCAGAGATGAGGACCGCACGGTTCGTCACTTCCGCAGTATTTTATGACTTCAAACCCTCTCTGTTGTGTGTGTGTGTGTGTGTGTGTGTGTGAATGTGTATGAATGTGTGTGTATGTTGCATAAAAAATGTGGGTACTCTCGCACTTAATATGGTGTATTTCCACCTCGTCTTCGAATGACTTCTTGTAAACGGTTGTGCATATTAATGCATGGCCTAATTGTGGTCTGAGGAATTTCGTGCCATATTTGTTGTAATGCTGCTCCCAACTCCTGCAGATTTGTTGGTTGTCTCTCAAAATCTCGTAATCTTCTTCCCATCATATCCCATACATATTCAATGGGATTCAAATCCGGGCTCATTGCTGGATGTGGTAACACCTCGATATTGATTTCTTCGAGGAAGTTAAGAGCAATCCTGGCAATGTGTGGGCGAGCGTTGTCATGCATGAGAATAAAATTGCGCCCCATTTGACGACGCATGGCTATTATG